GGAGCATGGTCCAAGCTACCGGTGGTTAGGGCTCCAGAGACAGAAACCTCCTCACGATACGTGCCGTTTCAAGGAGAACTGCCTTCTGTATCAGGCCCTTGACCCAACTGCCTAACGCTAGCCTCCTAAGGTGGTTGTCGAGGCTATTAGGGATTAACCCATTGGCCGACACGACTATCGAAACAATGATAGCCGAATCTACATTCCACATGTCGACAACCTCAAGAGCCAAATCAAGATATTTGATTTGTTTATCTTTTTCAGCTTTCACGAGGTTCTCATCATGAGAAATAGTGATATCGATTATCATCGTGCGGCGTACTTGTCGGTCTATCACCACTATATCAGTTTATTGGCTATAATAGTCCTGTCAGTGATGATAGACCGGTCCCAGTACAATGTGATATGGTCATTTTCCAGAACTGGGTCGGGCACATACTTGTAGTACGGTACCTCAGACTCAACAAGTCGATAGTGTAAAGCAAGTTTCTGATGGATAATCTTGGCTACTTGATTATGCCTATAGATGCAAATATTCACTGTTAGCCAAACGACCACAACCTGAAATAATATGTCTAATGGATTCACCAGGACTATGACATGCCCGACATAATGTCAACCGTTCCATCCTTAATTATATATTTCCCATAGTTATTCGTAAGGATAACTTCGTCCATAATTGCACAGACAAATCCTTCAGTTTCTCCAAAGAGATTACTGAATCGTAGCCAAGACACGGACGCTAGAAAATCTACACTGGACCCATGAAGGGCCCGGAAGAAGCGTCCGTGGAGCTCCTGGCTATGCCATACCTCCTTGCGATCATTGACGCTCAGTACCACAGGTTTGCGCCAGTTCTCTTTTGCCAAGGATAGCGGAGTGAATCCATTGTCCACCGCTGCTACTTCTCGATGCATACCCTCGTTGACTTTCAGGAAATATTCCCTGAGGCTGCACACCTTACGGTTGTGAAGGGTCTTAGCATTTAATAAGCCTCGACCACCACACTTCCGCGGGATGTACAACCTCATGACCGACGAACGAGGGTGATGCATGCAATTTGTAGTCAGCAGGGTCCGGACTCGTCTATCCAGGGTGTCAAGTTCAGTCTGAGTCCACTTGAGTATGCCAAAAGAATACATTAGGACTGGCATGACCCAACCGTTAAAGGCTCGCACCTTGTTTCCGACTGATAAGGAACTTTTCAGTACCTTATTCAGGCGACCAAAGAAGTATTACATATATTTATTATGTAATTATTATATGTATACAAATCACTCGGCCAATGAGGTATTATTATTATATGTACATTATAATAGTCACGGACAAGTGCTGAAAACCAGCGCCGCGACTCGAGCGCACTCGGGTCACGGCGTTTAAGCTGAGCTCTGGCCTTTTTGCGCCGTCTTCACTGTTTTAATTTTTTTGTGTGTTATTATACTTCGTGACGGTGTGCAAATAAACATTTTTTTCTTTCTTTCTTCTTTCTTCATACTTGGTCTTTTTACTACGGTTTTGGACTAATATCATGTTTGATTTTTGACCATTTCATGTTCCAGGTGACCACTGAGGCTTCATCTAATGTTGCAAGGGCCTTTACAGAAGAGACGACCACTGAAAGTTTCAGATTCAGGTACAGTTCTGTTTAAACATTGTCTAATACTATGTTTTTTGATGGGTTCGTTTATAAATATACAGTTTCACATACTTATGACACCCAGACCCGGAATAACAATTTGTGGATCACTTAGAAAATTGTTCTGTACGGGGATTGAAACTGCGACACGTTGGTTAGCAGCTGCTAATTCTCTACCTTTGGTCAACCAGCTGGTTGACCAAAGGACAAAAATACAAACATGTTCTATTCTGTTTTTACCACTCAAAAAGTTTAAAAAGCATGCCCTACATTTTACACAGCTTGCTACCGCAGTAGTTACAGCTGTGTACAGTCTGACACGCTTTTAGCATTCCCCTACACTTCCCTAGAGCGCTACATGTCACACAGCTTGCTACGCGCAGTAGTTACAGCTGAGTACAGTCTGTCACACTCTCAGCACTCTCCTACACTCCCTTAGTGCAGCTTTATACAATCGATAATGGAAGAGGTTTATGCGTTGATAAAGAATAATTACATATTTTCCAGGGCTAAGGAAAAGAAAGTAAAAGGTATTTTAATTTTTTTTTAAACTGTTACATTGATTCTAGTACTTTACCTAGCTATATAGGCACTAAACAGGTCTTGTGTGTATCGGTATTGTATCTACAACCATAACGCCCGTTCTTAAGCCAAAATTAAAACTGCCAGGCTCAACAAGGCCGGGACTTTCGGTCGAAGCCGGATTCGATCAAAGTTTATTATAGAAATGTCAGACTCATATGATAATTAAGTTTCGAATAGAGTAGGTATTGCATATCAGGCTAGCTTCACTTACTTACCTTCACTTTAAATTTTTATTCAAAAGTGCCTTCCTAATCTAATTGATTTTGACTTTAGGGTATAATAAAAGTGTTTTATTCCTTCGAAATTAACTAAAAATGACTTTTTATTTGCAGAAAGCGTAACTTCATCAACTGACAGCACTTAATTCTAGCCCAGTCTATAAATATAATAAAAATGAAAATAGTAAGTATTTTTTAAAATAAAAGAAAACGAGAAAAAAATATTTTGCAATAATTTGTTTGCTGAGAGCGTGACAGACTGTACACAACTGTAACTACTGCGCCTGTGTGACATGTAGCGCGCTACTGAAGTGTAGGGGAGAGCTGAGAGAGTGACAGACTGTACACAGCTGTAACTACTGCGCGTAGCAAGCTGTGTGACATGTAGCGCGCTAGGGGAGTGTAGGGGAGTGCTGAGACAGTGACAGACTGTACACAGCTGTAACTACTGCGCGTAGCAAGCTGTGTAGTAACTAAAGAGCGTAAGCAGAGCTTAGTATGTAAGGAGCGTAGTAGGTGGCGCTCTGTACTTTCTGTTTGCATTGTAAGATAAATACGTGTGTTTTTTTAGACTATTAGTATTAGTACTATTTAGTCTATAAGTTAGGTAATGAAAAAATATTAGACTCGTATTGTTTATTTTGTCGTATAATAAAATAACACTTAAAACGAATCAAAGTTTAGGAGTGGGGGCTGAAACGTCATTTCTACGTATAAAATGTACATAGAAGTGACGTCACGTGACATTTCAAATCAATATATAAAAAATACGTGTCTAATGATTGAAAATAATCTACCAGACGGACATTAAAATAAATATTAGGTATCTACCCTATATTTAGTACCCATTTTAAAGTATTTTTCTTTTTTTACAGGATAATTCGTCTTGTAGATGTCATGCGAACCATCAGGGACCTGAAACATAATGTCTTCTAAATTTAATTGAGGATCGTTAGGACTGCGTTTAACTATAGTTCTGTCTCTACAAACTCTTTATAGAATGACAGAGACTGCATGATATTTATGTACAATGTAAAATTGAGTATCCTTTCAGTATTTGTAAAATTGAAACTGGTTTTGTTTAATGGATATACAAAAAATTGTCTAATGTAAATAAAAAATATCTTATTTTTTAAAGTACTAATATTTTATTTCCCATTTTTACAAAATCCCCCTTTTTTGAGGGGGGAAAATCATCCAATGACTTGTCCCGTCCGAGTTAGGCAAGAGGGAGTTTCAAACTTTTACTGATTAAAAACCACCCCGTTCCTACTGCTGCATTTCGAGCTGGAACCTCAGCAATCCGATAAGTCCTCTGCAGACAATACTCAAATGTAGTCAGTAATTACTCAGATTTCAATAGTAGCTAATTTAATACTTTAATTCTAATGTAGACAATCTAGTTTCCTTGTGGCATCGAACATTTCTTTCTTTATTGAAACAAACATAACATAACATAACATAACATAACAACACGCCTTTTTATCCCCGAAGGGGTAGGCAGAGGTGCACATTACGGCACTTAATGCCACTGTACAATG